GCTCTTCACTGCTCCCATTGGTCCCCTCTCCCTAACCACCCCCCTGCCTACTTCCTATATAAAGCAGCACTTTTCACTTCCTAATCATTACAGCTACTGCTCTCTGCATTTGCAAGCCAATTCACCAGCCCTGAAGATGGAGGCGATATGTTCCTCCGAAACATCAGCTAAAATAAAGAACACATGGCGCCAGATCCCAGAAGATGGCTTTCTTCATAGTTGTCACCGTGAAAACCTCAAAACTTACATAAATAATAGTACTGATTTGAAAAATGCTTTTATTTGATGATGTTCCCTCCAAAGATGGTCCATAAGGACTGAAACATGTAAGGGTGATAGGTTTTCATGTAGTAAAACTTATATGTCTGCCAACCTCATAGAGGATGGCATCATTACTACCTCTAGTTAGTTAGTTAGTTATTTGGAGAGGGTGGATTTCCCCATGCACTTAGACGTGTATTGGTCCATTGTGCTTCCTTCTATGATTTCTACCAGTCTCTATATCCTACCGGTATTGGTATTTACCATCAGTCCCGCCCAGCCAGCGAGACCGGCTCTACTGGCTGAGAAGTATCTATAATGCTTCCCCCATCTACCAGAGGTATTAGAGACTGCTGTTGGGCGGGAAACGTCCGCAATTTTGGCTCAGTGACCTCCTTTGGAGATATGAGGTTCTTTTACATGCCGTAAAGCTACGACACGGGACCCACGGCTTAAAGTCCCTCCTGGAGGACTTGTTCCCTTAATTTTTCCGCCCTTAAAAATTTGACAACCTCCGCCGGGTATTTGAACCCGCGTACTACGAGTCATGAGGTGGGAACGTTACCTCTAGACTACGGAGGCCGCTATTACTACCTGTAACATGTGACCTTAAGGTCACAGTTACTTCCGCCTCAGTGGTCTTTGTTGTTTAGTTGTCAGTTTCACATTACAGTTGCTTTACTCTCAGGGAAAGAACTCCACTGCTCACTAGAGAGGAGACTGGGTGGGCCTCAGGGTCAGTCTGGATGTGATGGAAAAGAGAAAAGTCTCTGCCAGGAATTGGGGAATTGTTCCCTGGTTTCCCAGCTATGGCCAATCACCTTACTGTCTTATTTAATTATCAGCAGCAGATGAGTCTTTAAAATGAGCAGAACGAAGGACTGTTGATTCTGAGTATATCAACATCAAATTACAAAATTATGTACACAAATATGTAATCTTGTAAATGGTTGTTCCAAAATAACATGATAATTTTTATGATGTTTAAAGAACTTGTTGGGAAAATCACTGACACAGATTCCTTGGTAAGAAACTGCTTCGGTTGTAGATTATTGTCAGTGTTAATGATGGTCTTTTTGAGCATTTGGAACTAACTTCGCCAACCAGCAGCAGTCACTCGGTTGCTTGCAGACTGAAACCATGGAGTTTGTTGTAGAGACCATGGTTTTAATACTATATAGCTTAAGACCTGGGTATAGAGATTATCACTGTCCCTTTTAGTAGTGAGTTGCATTTAAATTTGCAGAAGCTATAACATTTTACATATAAGTTTGCAATCGAGATTAATGGAAAGAAGGATTTGAGGTTCTTACAGTGGTGATTATGAAAGGCTTTGTTTTATAGAGTATAATGCCGTATGGTCCAGTGAAAGTCAACGGATATTTCAGAAGAACATGCATCTGTTTTCAGGGTTGAAGAACAAGCTTGCCAAAGAGTGGATGGAATCCACATTCCGAAACAAATTATTTATGAAGTATGTAGCAAAAGAGATATGGGAAGACAGAGGAAGAGATTGAGAGGCTCATAATCGAGTCTAGAATACAGAACACTTAATCTCTGGGGAGAGGAAAGAGAATTTTGCAAGATGTAACTGCTTATTTCATGTATATATATATATATACACAATTTTTTTTTCAGGTTTTGCATATGGTAGTGGCCCACATGTGATAGCCTTCACAGAAACAGGAGATACATATTCTTGGGGCCATAATGGGTACTGTGAACTTGGAAATGGTTCTTCAAATCAGTGTTTATCTCCAACAGTAATTGGTCCAAATTTGTTTGGTAAAGAAGTGATAGAAGTGGCATGTGGAAGTCACCATTCACTGGCTTTAACAAGAGATGGAGAGGTATTGTTCTATTCCACTGAATGTTATGATAAGAACTAAAAATTGTGTGTGTAAGATTAGACACTGTTATAACACAGAAGACTGCAATGTCAGTAGGGCCATGTACTGAAAAGTATAAAAATGTTGATAAAGTGAAACATTAAGGTTATATTTGAGTACTTATGACTTATGCTTCTTGTCTCCAGGTTTATGCATGGGGTCAGAATAACTGTGGACAGGTAGGTTCAGGAATGAGCACCAATCAGAGTATTCCAAGAAAAGTAAATTCTATTATTGGAACAAAGAGAGCCATATCCATAGCTTGTGGCCAGACATCATCAGTGGCCGTATTAGAAAATGGTGAAGTATGTAATTTTTCCATTTGTAATTAGTGATAAAGATGGTCCATAAGGACTGAAGAAGTAAAGAGTTTCCAATTTAGTTAGAAGTAAAGAATGGCCCATTTAAAAAACTGTAAACTGACAGTATGTGTACAGGAATCCTATTTGTTATGGGCTGATGCCAGAGAAAGAAAATTCTTTTTTAGAATAAACACAAGTACAACTTAGAACGGAATTATTTAGAAGGCATAGTGAAGTTCAGATGTTTGTTATAATGAAGGATTGGTGATTTTTGCATATTTAGGACATTTGTTGCCTTCAGAAACAATGTACAAACATTGCATCACTCATTAAAGACATGGTAGGAGTATGTAATTGATTCTACACATTACAGTAATAAAGCAATTTATGTTCAAGAAACACTGATATCACCAATGTCATTGGAAAGGTATTTAACAGTCTCATCTGACTGGTTAAAATAAGTTAAATGCCATTCTGTATAGGTCTTCTGTGAAAATACATTTCCAATATATTCCAGTTTATTTTGTAGTAGGGTCTATTACTGGGATGACTAATGGCATCAGTCATATGGATTACAATCAGTCATATTATTTTGTCCCTGAATGTGCTTGAAATTAAGAGGAATCATGTGCAGATGGAGTTTACTCAAATACAACCCATTGAAATCAGCAGTAAACTGCAAATATTAATATTTGTTATAGACTGATTCCAGAGAAAGCCATTTCTTATTAGAAATGAACAGCTGCTTACCCATTTGTGACCTGCTATGTAATTTGTGCTCATGCAGTGTTCAACAATTTGATTATATGGTAACCCAAGATTGTATAATTTCAGAGCTTCCGTTCAGTGTTTATGTATTGAGAGAGGTAACATGCTGTATCTACAGAATGTACATAAAGGCCCAAGCGTTCTGATACAAGTTATAGCCCTTAATAAGATGGTGTCCTGCAAGGTTCAATTCTGGGTCCATTGTTATTTCTCATTTATATAAACAATTTACCCAAAACTGTAAATGATAAAACTGTACCTATATTATTTGCAGATGACACTAGTTTGTTAGTTAAAAGTTCAAACAGTGGTGATCTCTGTGTAAATATAAATAATGCTTTTCGTAGTATAAATGAATGGTTAAAAGTAAACAAACTTTCTGCAAATTTTAACAAAACCCACTACATTCAATTTACAGCTAGAAATAAAAATCCTAAATCTGAAATAAAGATTGTATATGATAAAAAACACATTACATCTATATCCAATATTAAATTTCTTGGAATATTCATTGATGATTGATTATCTTGTGACTCATTCTATATCCTATGGCTTGTATTATGCCTGTATCAGGATCAATTAGAAAGTGAAATAAATGAATGAATGAATGAATGAATGAATAAATGAATGAATGATGATGATAAAATGAGCTGGAATCTAAACTAAGTGCAGTCTGCTACATAATAAGATCGCTTAAACCATGCACGTCCGTAAATACCTTAAAAGTGGTTTATCACTCTTATTTTAATTTTATTATAAAGTATGATTTACCCTTGTGGGGGTAACTCACCCCAAAGTATAAAAATTTTTAGAATGCACAAGAATATAATTAGAATTATGTTGGGACACAGAAGGAGGGATTCGTGCAGAAACTTATTTAGAGAATTAGAAATCTTACCTCTGACATCTCAGTACATACTATCTCTTATGCTCTTTGTGATAAAAAATAGAAACAAATTCGTAGTAAATTCAGAGATTCATACAATAAATACCAGACAGCAAAATAATCTCCATCAGCCTCTTGTAAATTTGAGTAAATACCAAAAGGGAGTTTACTGTTTAGGAACAAAGGTCTGTAATAATCCACCACAATATACTAAGGCTATATTGAGTGATACTAAGAGTTTTAAGGTCAATTAAAACAATTTTTATATTTACATTCTTTTTATTCTTTACAGGAATATTTTGGTTATAAATCTTTTTAAGGTGCGAGTAGTTTTCTTGCTTTACAATTAAAAGAAGACAAGGTTGTCAGTCTGTGTTTTGGTTTTTAGATGCTTATTTTAGACATACACAGTTTTTATATTACTGTATACTAGTCTTTATTTTAATTTATTATATAATTGATGTATGTTGTACAAAACTCATTAATGACATTATGTTTTAACTATTGAATTTTTAATTAATAGACTTGCATAAAACTGTATAAATTGTATAAGATTTGCCATTACTTTTAAGACTAAAATAAACTTATTTATTATATTGTACATGTTTATCAGTATTTATACAAATCTGCATGCTATTGGATGACAACTGTAATCCTTAGTTGTAACTGTAACAAGGACGATCTCCACATCCGCATGAGAATGTACTCTCGACAGGATTTATGGAAGGTGAATAAATGAAATGAAATAAAATAAAATGAAAGAGAAACTTTTGTTATAGAATTCTGTTTTATATTTCTGAAGAAACAAGCACCAGATACTAAATCAGTTTTGATGAACTTTCCAGTATGAAACATATATTGTTGGATCCAATATTTTTATATAAAATCTGAGTTTCCAATGAACATGACATACATGCAGTTTGAAGTCACAGTGTTCAACACAAAACCACTGAGGTATAAGTGTTCATCACTGTGTTATTCTCTTGATATATTGTGCAGGTGTATGGTTGGGGCTTCAATGGGAATGGGCAGCTTGGTTTGGGAAACAACGTGAACCAGCTGAATCCTTGCCGAGTGCTTAACCTCCAAGGTATAGTTATAACAAAAGTTGTTTGTGGCTATGCCCATACAATGGCCCTTTCTGACGTTGGTGCACTGTATGTGTGGGGAGCAAATACTTATGGACAGCTTGGAACTGGAAACAGATCTAATGTTTCAGCACCAGTTCATGTGGCATCAGAAATCGGCAGGTTTGTCATTTGTAATATTTATATTGTGAAATACTTTTATTCTGAGGGCCAGAATTTTGATTGTTACAAACAGGAGAGTGTTGTATGTGGACAGTCTTATGTTCTGTCACTTAATACTGGCTTGTTCACTTGACTCATTTTATGTGCTTCTAAGAAAGATGAAGAAACAGGAGTATAAAGATAATTAGATAATGATGAGCTCCATAGTTTAACAATTACAAGGAGGGTGAGATCAGTGCGGTACATATGGGGGAAATGAGAAGTGCAAATAACATTTTGGTTGGAAAAACTTGAAGGGAAGAAACAAACAGACAGGGCTATAGATGGGGTCCATTGTCAGGATTTTGTGAACATAGTAATGAATCCCATGAAGGCAGGGACTTTGTGGTTCAAGGTTAACCTGGACTTTATTTTTTCCTGAAGATGTGGGCACCAGAAAAATAGAACTCTTTAAAGGACAGTTGGTGGTAACATTGCACTCACTGCCTGGCAAGTGGCTCCATGATTAAGTAAACATATTTGTTTTCAAAAGTTCCATTTTAGTTCTATTTTGAGAACAAATTGATGCTGATTTGGTGCCCATGCTTTAAAGTGAAGTCAGGCATGATGTCATAAAGTGGAATGACAGGACGAATGTGACCATTATGTCAATTTACCATGAAGTCAGAAGTCCAGGCCATAATGAAAAAGGGGAAAGGAAAACAGATACTTGTGTGTATGATTCATTACTGTAACCAATAGTTTGTACTGATAAGGAAGATCAGCTGCTGCAGATGTACCTTGTGGGTGAAAGAGAATGAATGAGTTGTATGTGAATCTATTCAGACAACTCCTCAACACCACAATTCCTAGTTCCCTCACCATATATAGTAAAACAGTAGGGCAGAAAGTTGATAAAGGTTGCTATTGAAGCATTTTATGTGAAGTGCTAGGTCAACATGGTGATAATAGTGTGAAGAGACCGACAGAACAGCATTTTCATAGAAGACTTCCATCTACAGAAATGAAATCAAAGTTTATGAGATATTATATGGTCTGCAACATGCATGACAGAAGAAAAGAGACTGTTTATTATTGTCATGACTGTGATATTGCTTTGAATGTGGATGGGTGTTTCGAGGAGTACCACACAAACAAGAATATCTGAGGAAATGTAAAATGCATATTGTGACATGTATACCCATTGCTAGGGAACAGGTCGGCCAATGTGGTTTATGTGGAGATGAATTCTAGGAAACCAACTCATTATGGGACGTTTCTGTGGAGATGGATTCTTGGAAACTAACCCATTATGGGATGATGTTTCTGTGGATACAGGTGATCAACAAACATTTCCTTGGATATGGTGTTGAAGATGTTGGTCTTCCCTGACATTATATAACAGGAGCCAGTCAGATGAGCTCAGAACAGAATAGAGGGAGCCAGTCATCACAGTCCAGTCAGAATGGAGCAAGCCCTAGGCAGTCATTTATTATTAGTTATTGTAATTTATTGTGATTACAAGCGATTGTACAAGATGTTAATAAATCAAATCATCCAATCCAAAACCCTTCTTATTAGTCATACCCATAAACATGTGATAGTATTTATGATCTAGAGTATGTAGAGAATTTATATTCCAAATTTCATTTCAGAGTACAGGAAATTTTTACTCTTGGTTGATTAAAATGTAAATACCCTTAAAAGTTTCTTCCACATCATGCTATAGCCTGGTAATTAAATTCCCTCCTTCGGAGGGTTGATTGAAAACCTAAACTTGAACTAAATCAAATATGCATTGACATCTGTGTATATTTTGTAATTTAAACTTTTTTCATGTCTAATTCACACTATTCACTCTTTGTTGGGTGTTGCAGAAACTGCATTCACATGGTCTGTCAGAAACGACTTTGGTGTCTTTTTAACAATATAAATGGTGCATCAACAATAACCATTATTGTACACTGTGAAATAATATTATTAATTGACCCAAGAAAATTAGAACATTTTTTGGTGCATTTTGTAGGCGGTTTCCTCATTTAAATAATTCTCTAATTTTTTCTGTATTCATTAAATTAAAATTGGCCCGACGATGCAATGAATGTCACAGTTTTATGTGTGTTAGATAAAAAGAAAGCTTGTAACTCTTTGTTATTCCAGGATTGTAGATGTAGCAGCAACTCACTATAATCACATATCAACTGCCATGACACAGAATTCGAAAGTGTATATGTGGGGGCAATGCAGAGGTAAGATAATTTCACTAATATGGAAAGAGTGTAGTTTATGTTATGGGAGAATAATATTAAAATGGATAATAAAGATATATGGTGTGAAGTAATGGCTTAGGGTAGGGTCCAGTGGAAGGCTCATGTAAACATAATGAATTTTTGGATGGGGAATTTATTGACTGCAGAATGACTATTAGTTTCTCAATTCTGATCCTATTCCATGGAGTTAGTTGTACAAATCTTGTTGATATATTTAGATAATGTGACTGAGTTCATGGTCAAGCAATGTAATGCAGTGGGTGGGCTAGGATATTAAGATTGTATGTGGTCATAGGATCAAGTCCTGCTGGACTGAGTGATTCTCTTAGCTTCCACTTATAAGTACAGTACATAAATAGTAATGTTTTCCCTATGAGAAGAACTTATCATGTTACAGAAACTAATTAAAGTTGTCAAATGAAATCTCAGGGGTTTACATCATTACCATGTTAGTACTGACTTACCTAAAAGATTGTGTGTGAAAAACTGTCTGTAAGTTTATAATCTAGTATCATAACAAATTTCATATTTATAACTCCAGTTTTTCACTATTTATTGCTTTCAAGCTGAAACCTAAATGAATATCTTTGCATGACTTTCTAGTTCTTCCATATTCTGCAAACAAACATTCAGCTTAACACAGATTACTTATTGTTGAAGCTGTATTATCATACATAATTTCAGGACCCTGCATTAAATAACACTACTATAGGTTCCGGCTTACAAGTTTGTACCACCACTATCTTTAATACAGATTGTAAGAAACAGGAAAGTGTGAACTTGTGGTGGTTCCTTTGGTGTGTAATGTTATGCCATATTTTGTACCATGTTTTATTTTTGGATCCTTGTTAGAATTATGAATTATAGGAGTTGCAGTGTCACTTTTGTGGCTGCTTCGGAACATGTAAGATGATATATACTTGCATGCCATTGTTAGTCACAAGTAATTATGTTAATAGTTGTAATATTGTGTAGTCAGCAAGTTTTATAAAGGTGATTGTATAGTATTCTCTTATGTAATTGTAGCGTGAAACTACAGTGGTAGTGTCGTATACTGTAAATCCTTCCTGAGTTTTGTAATTCTATTATTGGCATAACAGATTTGAAAGGTGGTCTCTCTGTCATCAGTCTACTGATTATTTTTTATTGTGTTAATGTGTTTGAAACCACATTCTGCAAACTAAAAATAGGCAGAAGCTTATGAAGACAGCTATAATTTCTGACATTTTCTACATGAAAAATCTTGTGGTTCTTATATGTACAGGTATCTGCTTTCTCTTTGTTTTAAATGGGTGCTTTTCTATGATTATAAAATTTCAGGTCAGAATGTAAAAAGTCCAACAGAAACTCCATTTACATCTTTACATGATGTGTTTGCATGTTTCGCAACGCCAAGTGTAATGTGGAAACCGATGGGAGTAGACTTGGATTCTGGTGAAAAAGTAACAGATAGTTTGAAAACTGCCTTTGATAATCCAGTAAGTAAAATTTCTATGTTGCAGTGGTTCAGAACTTGAGTGGATCAGTAGGAGGTTAATTGTTAAAAGTCAAAGATTGCATGATGTCTTCCATGCACTTTTGGTAATGTATGTACTCGTTTTTTTATCCTAAACCTTTCTGTATTTGGTAGAAGTAAAAGTTAATACTTTGCTTAAGCAACACACTGTGAAAACACAAGGAAAGTAGGATTTAAGGTTCTTGCAGTGGTGGTTATGAAGAGATTATATCTTTTGAGATATAACGCCGCATAGTCTGTTGAAAGTCGACAGATGTTTCAGGGGAACATGTCACTTCTATGTTCAGGGTCAAAGAATAAGCCAAGTTGGAAACCAGCGTGACACAGATAGCAAGCAGAACCAATACAGCTTCTTGAATCATTGATCATATCAAAGACTAGCCTTCCCATTGAGGAACACTGTGCAGGATTTGAGGTTTCCACCAGTGGTTATGAACAGTTCTGTCTTCAGGGTTATAAAGCCATGTGGTTGGGTGAAAGTAAGATGATGTTTAAGAGGGACATGTCACCTCCATCTTAGGGTTGTAAAATAAGTCAGGCAAGAAACCAGAATGAAGCAGGTAGCAGACAGAGCTCTGAAGTGAAGTGTGCTTCATGTTGAACCTCTGAACAGTATAGATGTGTGTGTCATGCATGCTGTGCATTCAAAATTATAAAAAAAATACTGTGTCAAATACTGGCACCATGTGGATGTGTGATATGCGTGCTCTGTAGTCTAAATTATAAGTGAAATTAAGTTGAAAAGATTTAATTTGTACAGTTTAACTTCTAAATATTATACATATGAGTAGCTGAAGTATAATAAATGTATGTAATAGTTTTAATTTAAGTTAATAATTGAATTTATGATGTCAGAATTTAAAGTTAATGAACATTGTCTGTGTTGAAATCGCTACTTGTGTCTGTGAAAGTAAATGTGATTAATATGACGTTAACTGAATCAGTAGATCTGACTGATTTCATTGCTGTGATGTTGTGTTGCAGCCATTAGCACTCTTGAATAGTCTCATGTCCTCTGTTCCAGCCTGTTCCTAACTTTCTTTCTCCCTGAAATTTGAATTATTTAATTGCACCAAATTATCTACATTAATTAGTGTCTTTAATTTTATATTATATTATTCCTGTAGAGGTAAAGCAAGGTATAAAAGAAACTGCACAGTGTTGATATGACACCCAGGCAATGCGGAGTTAAGTGAGAATGAATGGTATCAGGAGAAAAAATTATTACTGAATTGACTAGCATAGTACTTTCATCTGAAAATAAAATTAGAATGTTCATAAAAGAAACTGAAATTTGGGATTTTACACGTTTTCTGCAGCTCATGTCATTAATGCAAATACAGAAGAAATTATTGATGTGAAGTGTTTTACAGAGTTGCTGATCAGATTTCAAGACAAGATGAATTATAATTCATAATTATTCATAATTATGTTTTTGGAAACTTCTGAAGATTTCAAGATCCTTTACACCTTATTGAAAGTCCATCGATGATAGCTATTCGGAATTATATGACCCTGGTTCTGAAGTGAAGTGCATAAAACATGAACTTGTCATCTTTCGAGAGAACACCCAAATGCAAGGAGTGTTCGGGCAAAACTCAAAACAGGCCCTGACTCTGAATTTTGGAGTTACTCCACAGAAACAGTAACCATTATGATCTTGTGATAAAATAATTATATAATATTTTTTTAACAAACATACCTCTGTGAGGTAACTTTAGTAAACTGAAGTACATGAAACAGAAGACCAGACTAACATATGCATTTCAGTAATCTTCCTTGACTTGCTGTTTCAAAGCAACCAGATACCGAAGACAGTATTTTGAACAAGAAGTTCTGGGAAGAACTACTTGCCTGTTTCCTTTTGATATCACCTACATCATATAGAAAATGATCCATCCAACAATTTTTCTATTGTTTCCTCTGTATTTGTATCTATGGGAACATATTTACTGAGCTATTGCCTAGCAACAATAAGTGGCGATTACATACGGACACAGAGCAAGGTGATTCATAATCCTACTTTTATATTTTATTCAAAGTAGGGAGAATAGGCTAAAAAATATTTGGACTTGAATGTGCATATACAGTAATATGAAGGCCATTTCCTAGCAGTGGCTATCTTCTCTGTCTTCTGGGTGTTAACTAAGTATCCAATTCCATGTATTATGCAGACGTTCAACAGAAAAAGTATTGAGGCTCCATCTGAGAGAGAGGAGGACAGGGAGGTCTGCTAGTTTTGCTCAGTCACAGCGCATGCACTGAAGGGCTGATCCTCTTGTTGAAGAGGAGACCTCATTACCTAGCAGCAAGGGGGAACAGACACACACAATTCCTGAGTGTGCCTATCACTAAATGTTAGTGGGGAAGCGAAGCAAAATGAAGAGTTGTCATACAGGAGACAAGAAACTTGTATGATATGTTAATTGGGAAACCTGAAAGTAAGAGATCACTGGGGATATGATAACAGTAAAAGGATGTTAAAGAAATGAGGCTGGATGGTGTGGACTGGATTTGTCTGGCTTAGGATGGGGGTACAGTAGCAGGCTGTTATGAAACATGGTTACGAACAGTCAGGTTCCATAGGAGGAAGAGAATTTCGTAACCAATGGAGCAACTGTAATCTTTGCAAGAGGGCTCAATGAAGATAGGTAATTACAAAATCTGAACGTTTTCATTGTTTGTAAGAAGTTAGTGTAATATCAAAACTAGTGGTGCTGCATTTAATTGGAAAGAACGTAATCTAGGCATTAGGTATCAAATAGCATAAATCACATGTCAAATGCTGTGCCTTGCTAGTCTGCTGTTTCTTTAGCTTTACCCTTAGAGAAGGGATATCCATTCAAAATTGAGATCGAGATGCTCTTTGGAATTATTGTCATACTGCAGGATCACTTATTTTTGTCCATGATACTTTGTCAGATAGTATCCAGAATTCCTTACATTTTAATTGTTGTGTGTAATAGACAGAATATGCTTGTACTGTAGTCATGGTATATCCTAATGCTTGTCAAGAAAGGGTTAGAACCATTTTCGTCTTTGGTTCTTTCCTTCTAAAACTCTGTATTTAGAATAGTAATATTTGTAAGATGAAATATTTGATTACAGAGCAGCAGTGATTTGACAATTACAGTTAAAGGAACACCAATACATGTACACAAGGCTGTTCTGAAAATAAGGTGTCAGTATTTCCGATCCATGTTCCAAGACCACTGGGAGGAAGACAGCAGGAGGTAAATAGATCTAACACTGTTAACACTTCACACATTGCTTCCTTACTGTGTTAACATTGAAATAAACACACATGTAAGCATGCATANGGTGTCAGTATTTCCGATCCATGTTCCAAGACCACTGGGAGGAAGATAGCAGGAGGTAAATAGATGTAGCACTGTAACACTTCACACATTGCTTCCTTACTGTGTTAACATTGAAATGAACACACATGTAAGCATGCATGTAAGATTATCATACTGATATTCATAAATGTATATTTTATTAAATTATTTTCATTACTCAAGCAGTCCCCTGTATAAACATAAAATGAAACTTGCTTATAATGTGATCTCAAAGGAATTCAGTTTTATGTTTTGGGCAAGTCTTTGTTTAACTTGAGTACATGGTGTTCGGCAGGGCATGAAATGTGGTGTTGAGTTGCATAACAGCTATGGCTTATGCCACCAGCACAGAACACAGGTTTCACCTAAGTGCCTATATTTATAAATAAAGGAGTACTAAAGTAATATATTGGTGTTCCAAATCACAAGTTTGAATCCATGCTACATACATACTATATACATTATGCTGTTTCTGAGGGGTACCCATTTTGTTACCTTCCTTTTTCTTTTTCCTTAGTCTGTCAAAATAATTGTGTATAATTTTATCGACAGTTTGGTGTAATCCGTTGCCATTAGTGGCAAGAATGTTCTTTCTTGGATAAATTCCAGGGAGCACAGTTCAGAACAGAATTAAACTCAAAACATTAAATAATGAAGATATTTTTTGTTAAATTCTCGTTACTCCTTTACATTTCGACAGTTAGTATTGATTAGAGGTAATTTACATTAGTTTTTCTTGGAAACGTAACCTTTCCACTGAAAACAGCTTTACTGGCAGTCCCTGTTCTGTTCTAGGCAGGTTTTATTACTCTGTAGTTCACGTCATTGTTGTGGAGGTCAGTTTTATGAAAATTCATTCCTTGTTACCAGGCAGCTTGTCTTGACTTTTATTTCTGTTTCTGAAGCTGCTCTCATTATTTCTGGATTCTCTCTTGCAGTGTTCTTGAAATGGACCAGTTCTCATATGTGGTATATCATGCGTTTCTGCAGTATTTGTATACAGATGAAGTGAATCTTCCACCAGAGAGTGCTCTCGGTGAGTTTTCAAGAGGTGTGCCATTTTTATATAAGTGCATGCATGTGGGGGTGGGAGACCCACCCACAATAAATCAGAAGTTCACAAACTGAAGAAGCAAACATGCCTGGGAAGTAGCGACAGGCATGTCCCTCTTAAAATTGCAGCAAAACAAGGTTCTGTGTACCATCGGAAATTTTCCAAGGTGCACACTGATCTGCGATTTGCACACAGCTTTCAACCTTACATATGCATATGATTATATAACAAAATTGTGCAGGCAACAAGTAGAGGTAATACAGACTCATGAGTATGAACATGTTTGCAGTATAAAAAAAAGGCGAAACCAGACATAGAAAATGTAAGAGGCTAAACTTGGTGGTGGTCAAGCTTATGACTGTTTAAGTGACTAAGGTGCCATTGTAGCATAAGATAAATATGATAGGCGTGATCTTCTTTGCAAAGCCTGGACTGACAGAGGACTTGTGTATACTGCAAAAGCAAGAATTTTCAATAACAGGCTATATGTGCGAAATGTACACTTGACATGGCCAAGCATGTTTGTAAAATACATTACATAGTGACTATGACGGCAAGGGTTCAGTTTTTCATCCACACATTTATTGTGCATAATCTGCCGAGACTGCTATAAATGTATATGTTCAATAAGTGATGACCAGTGGCATAACTCATATACTCATTTTTTTTGTTCACTTAGGTATCACTTTAATGCTTGTACTCAGGTCTGTCTGGTAGAATCAGGAAGGTGTATCATTTCAGTCTGTGTGTAGTTTCGCTGTTGTCTAGTAGGTTCACTGCTAGTGCATTAGTGTGATTTTCTAATTTTCGTAAGTATTTGGTATTCCACTTTTTCATTTCACTGAGCACTGTGTTCATTTGTAGATCTTCATGGATCCTGTGCTTGTTTATGTACCAAGGTGCATTGCAGAATTGATCAGAGAGTCTTGGATTGAAAGCGCTGGAGGATTTCATTGTTGGAATTGGAAGCTGTCCCCCATAGCTGAATTCCACAGGTCCATATGGGTTTGAGTACTACTTTGTATAGGAGTCTGCTTTCTGTTTGATAGGCTTGATCTTCCTACTAGCTGGTGCATTTGTTTGTCTTTTTGGTTTTGATTGTGCTTTGCCCATGTCAGTCTTCTGTTGAGATTCATGCCCAGGTATTACCCTTCATTTTTCTGGGGTAGATCAACATTGTCCAATTGCACTGTCAGGCAGGTTTGGTTGTGTAGGGTAGATGTAATATGCGTGGATTTGATTTATTTTAATTCTCCATTTCTTCGCCCAATTGCCAATCTTATTGATGGTGGCTTGGAGTCTCATTGAGGCTATTGCTTGTTCTTCATGCGTGGCTAAAATTACTGTATCATCGGCAAAGGTAGCAGTTGTGTTGTCTGATGTCAGGAGGTCACTTGTGTGGGTAAGATATTGGACAGGTCCTGAGACACTTTCTTGCAGTTCACATGCTTTAGCTCTCCTTAAGGCTGTGTTTTCATCTTTGAATTTTACTTGAAAGAGTCTGTCTGTTAGATATAATTCTAATATTCTGTAATATGCATGGGGAAGGATTTTTCTGATTTTGTATAAGAGGCCTGGGTGCCATATTTTATGAAACACTTGTGTGATGTGTGTTAATGCTGCAGAGCATTTATTTTGGTAAAGCTCCTCTTATTGATCTGTGTAAGCCAATGTACTTGTTCTGTGGTAGAGTGTTTCTGTCAAAATCAAAACCGATGGTCCCGGAGGATTCGGCTTTCTTCTAGTATTGAGTACAATATCTTGAGCATAGCTTTTTTGAAGAAATTCCTCGTTATTAGGAGTAGGCTCTTTGGACTTCATGAGCTGGCTTGCTCTAGCAGTTTGCCAGGTTTCAGAATCATTATGATCTGTGTGACTTTCCATTGACCTGGAAAATATCACATTCTAATAATTGTGTTGCATATAGTTGTTAGATGGACAATGCCTTTTCTTGGGATTTCCTTCAATATTCTCCCTGTAATTAGGTCATATCCAAGGGTTTTCCTTGGGTTGAGAACTTTTTGGGTTAAGTTTTGAATTTCTTTCGGTGCAATGAATTTGATTGGTTGTGTTACTTGTAGCATTTCTGGTAGGTGGGATGCATTGTGTCAGTTATTTTAATCGTTTTGTTGTTTTCTACAATGGATAGTCAGTGTCAGCTGTCACTGGTAAGCTTTTAAGGTGTGTCTGAAATGTTTCTTCTTTGATTCTTTTTATTTAGTCTTTAAATTTTCTGGTCACTTCATTGTATCTGTGTTTATCTTTGGGAAAGGTTTCAGTTAAAAGAAATCTCTGGTCTTGATCCTCAAAGGGCTTGACACCAAGACAAACTGATTGGTGGGAAATCACCAGTCATAAAGTAACTCTGACTCTGACAAAGTAAAGCTTTATTCTCTGAAAAATGCATATAAGAAAAGAGACTGGTTGGGAGATCCTAGCATAGCTAGGAGGATACTATTACTGGCCAAAATAGGGTGTAAGAATGTGAATTGGATTAATCTGACACAGAAGAGGGTCTTAGTGGTGGGTTCTTCTGAACTGATATTGAACTTGTGGGCTTCATGAAAGGTGGGGAATTTCTTGACTAGCTTAGTGACTCTCATATTTTCAGAGGGCTCTGATAAATTTGGATTCTTTGTTAGTTGTGCTAATGTATATTTTGAAATGGCAGTTAAATTCATGCAATAACTAGTTGCAGAGCATTTTTCATAAAATTTAAGTCCTGCAGTTGTGTAACACTGTTCCTTTTTCACTGTTGGCTGGTATCATATCAAAGTACATTTTAAAATGATATTTAGAAGATTTGATTTTATAGTTTCAGGACATTCATCCAAAAGTGGATTAAGTCTAAGACTTGAATGCTTCTTTGAGATTTGCAATTCTCATGATGATGAATGTCAGGATTATGGTCTTCTGGGATATGATGTCATGTAGCTTAGTAGATGGGTACCAATATTTCCTCTGAAACAATGGTACCCCTCTATCAAACTACACAGTCACATCCCAGAAGATTGTAATCTTGAATGTGTTTTCTTTTATTTTCATCATAGACTATTATTATACAAATATATGTTTTGAAGTGACTTTTATAGCATGTTGTCTCATACATTTTGAGGCTCTGGAGGGCCCTAAATGTGTATAATTCTAGCCTTCTGTAACATACTGCTTGGTAATACCAGATGCTGTCGTCTACTTTTTCTCCTGTGTTGTTAGGAATACTGCTTTTAATGTAACTTCATTTTTGACTTGAAATTTTAAATTTATTTGTATTCATTTTCTTTTTAAGAATTGCTTGATCTTGCCAATGCTTACTGTGAGATACCACTGAAAAGGAGATGTGAACAGATAATAAAACACGGAATAACAATAGAAAATGCTGCAATGTTATACTCTACAGCCATTGCATATGAAGCTAAGGTGAGGATAAGATATGATAGTGTTAAAATCGATTTTATCAGCAATATGTTGTGTGACACGTAGCTGTCATATAGGGTAAAGTTGTCCCTGTGCTTAACTAATTAAGCACTACGCCATGAAAGCGCATGGGAGAGTGGATGTGTAGATCCACATTTTCTTGGCCTCAGCACTAGTTGGAGGTGAGTGATCAGCTTCATGGCTCTGCCGCTTTACTCCCAGGGAAAGAGCCCACAGTACCTATTGGATAGGAGGTTGGGTGGACCCCAGAGCCAGTCTGGACGACTTGGAGAAGAGAAAATTCTTGTCCCCACCAGGACTTGAACTCTGACCCCTCGATCATGCAGCCTGTAGCCAGTTGCTATACTGACTGCTCTATCCTGGCTCCCATTGCTGTCATAGCATTCTTAAATGATCAGCAAGCTGATGTATACAGGTATCCTTCAATTTATGATGGTAATTTGTTCCATGAAAACTGTTCATAAGGTGAAAATTTGTGAATTGAAAATGATACTGTCAGTACTTCATTCATATAAGTTACTCTTTTACAGGTCCCAGAAAATCCCCCAGTATTTTTAACATATATTTTAATAGTAAGTAAGCATTACGGTCATTCACTACTCACAGAAAATTTTCCAATATTTTTAACATGTTTTAATAGTAAGTACACATTAAACAATAAGGAGCTATTTGGAAAGTTATCTCCAGTGAGCTGTTAACAAAACAAGCAATGAGAAAAAGAATTGTTATGTACAAAAAATACAAATACATTTGTACTTAAACCAATTCACAATGTAATCATTGCTAGAATTGAGGCACTTGTTGTAACGGGGAGTAAGTTTTTGTATGCTTATGTCAAAGAAGGCTGCTATCTGTGAATTTAGCCATGTTTTGACACTTTACATCAACTCCTCATTATTGTTGAAGCATTGTGATCACGACTAGTTCATCAGGTAAGTAAACAGGTGGTAGTGCTCGGAACGAGATGAGAGCCATAAGGAGGGTGGTCAAACAACACCTAGTTGAAATGTTCCAGCAGTCCTCGAGTATGAGCAGCTGTATGTGGATGTGCATTGTCATGGAGGAGCGCTACATCGGATGTCAGCATTCCATACCTTTATTCTGAATGGCCCTACACATTTTTTTTAGTGTTTCACAATACACATCTGATGTTATTGTGGTCCCTTGTTGCATGAATTCCACCACCAGCACTCCTTTCCTGTCCCAGATAACGGTTGCCATCAGCTTCATTGTTTGTTTACAATTTTTTGGCATGTTTGGTGAAAGTGTGTGCATACATCCACTGCATTTACTGCTCTTTGGTTTCAGCATTCACAAATGAAACCCAGGTGTCATCACATGTTACTTGTATGATGTGATGGACAAATTAATCACCATCTTTGTGGTACACTCAAAGAAAGTTGAACCTGAAGCTATTCTCTGTATTTCATGTGCACCCGTGAGCATTTTCGGAACACATCTTGCACAAAACTTGTGATAGTCTAGCCTAACTGTGTTAATTTCATAGAGAACAGTGTGTGAAATTGTGAAACATCTTGTTTCACAACTTTTTTTTTCAGCACTTTGAACAGGATCATCACTCAATATGGATGGCTGGATGAACACTTCACTCTTCACTGTGAACATTTGTTTGCCCATTTTTTAACATTCTACAGCACTGTCTTGCATTTCCTTCACTCATTTCATTTTGGCCATAAACTGCTGCACATAATTCACAATGGATTTCCATGGCATTCATGTTTTCAGCGTGAAGAAAGCTGACAACAATGTGAATTTTGCAGCTGACAGGATTATCAGTAGCAGGACAAATCATAACTCACTGTAGAGACATGAACAAACACTAGATGATCAGTTATGTGATGGTTTACAAGGCAGTGAGTCACGTTACACTACTTCTCATGCACGAGCTCTCCCTTGCTCCTGCATTACTTACCTACGAGGGTCGTATTGAAAGTCATGAGCAACAATTTTTTGTAAAG